GCCGTTAATTCTTGACACCAATATCGATAATCGGAGTGTAGTAAAAAATAAAATAGTAGAGCTCTTGAGCTACGTACCTTTCTTAAACCAATATTCACGTTTCACAACTCTTGACGTTGCAAATCCATTGCTCATCTGTTTTCAATTAAAGGTCCGTATGGTGTTCGTTGATGCAGTTTTCGGTTGCTGGTAGGATTTCATAGTTTAAAAAATTTTACATTATTTTCTGGTAGTGAGCAGATGTTAATAATTTTTTTAGTGTGCAAAGGAACAGTGTGTTTTTAGAAGTCTCGTTTAAAGAATAAGATTAGGCTAAAACAAGTGTTTTTCCATTGCTTAGGAACTATGCTTTTCTTTCGCTTTCTGTTTTTCCTAAACATTGGTTTCTTTTCCATATACGCAGTAATACTTTAGTATAAAATAATTAATATTTTTTCATATCTAAAGAGAATGGAGCTGGCTAATTCAGAATTTCAACGTGAATGCTGCTTAATGTTCAGTATTTCTACTTTATGTATTTATAATATAGCATATTGCTTTCGGGATTTTTAAAGGAAGATTTTTCGGAGGTACCCATCTCTATGTTTTAAATCTCAAAATAGTGTTTCTCATTGAATTTTAATAATATTCAATAAAAAATTCAATCATATTATCAAGTAAAACGGTTTTTTGTTCGTTTTAGGTCTGTGATGCCAAGATGAAAATTTTGGATGTTGTTGCACGATGGGCAGATAAAACGCATGATCCATTCATGTAGAAAGGGAGCAGGATCAGAGAACATTACATTGTGTTGCTGATCAGATAACGAATACACAACTGTCTTGTTGCAGACAGTGGACTGCTTGAACCGTAGCTTCTCATCCAGTATTCAGGCCCTAGCACAGAAGCACAATCAATTTTTAATAGGAAGCATAAAACTCTGAGGGCTGTAGTGGAGCATTGTAATAACCTATCAAAGTCCAGGTTCTACTACCTTCATAAGAGTGGCGAAGTTTTAATATACGCACGAGCCAAATCATACAAAATTAGCTTGACATGCATTGCATAATCTGTCCCAAAAGTTTAGACTCAAGTAAATTACATGTTTAAGAAAAATAGAAATGTATATAATTATTTAAAATACGTTTACTTTGTAGAGCTATTAGGTTATTTGCAAGCAAGGGACTTGAAAAATGAGCAGCAATGCGTTCGCCGGGAATCGAACCGCCGACCTCTGGAATACGCGCCCAGCATGCAGACCACCACACCACGAAAGCATGCCAAGAAGGCGGGAGAAATACCTTATATAACCCCGTTTTAAGGGCGACTGGGGTTTTTAGGGGATCCAATCGCCAAATTCTGAGTGAGGAGAATCATCATCCAACACCCTACTAATTCGGGCGCTACTGTAGAGACATTAGGTTTTCTTTTGAAAGCAGGAAAGATGAAAAATTAGCAACGCCTTCGCCGGGAATCGAACCACAGAACTTTGGAATACGCTCCCAACGAGCAGATCACCATACCACGAAGGCATGCCAAGAAGGCGGGAGAAATACCTTATAACTTAAAACACATGTAAGTTGCATCTGACTAAATATTTAACGAAAATATCAATTTGTCTTTTAGAAAAAATAAAAATGGAAAAATGTGTGTTCAGAAAGTTTATAGACACATGTAATTTTATGCAAATTGATTTGCAACGATCATCATGGGGAACTTGAACTTTTTGTATGATAATACCCTCATTTAAACCTCGAATTAAAAAAAAAACAGAAAAGATAATTTGAACTGCGTTAAGCATGCCTAAAGCTACGCAACTTTCTGATGCTGAAGCGAAAATGATTCTGAACTTTAAATTTAACAGTAGGTCTGTTAAATAAATTTTGAAACTTCTGAATCGATCTGTAAGCATAATTTATTGTGTAGTGTCTCGTATACTTCAGCCAAAACCACCTTCAGGAAGACCCCGAGTGACCCGAAAGACTTATAGTGGGTTACCAATCTTCATACATTAGTTTGATGAGCCTTCTTTTAAGAAGCCTCCATTTTATACAGTTTATTATTTTTATAGCGTAATTTAACAATATCTTAAACTCAGAAGGCATTTTTCTACAGCCTAGAGAGTGAAGAACGCAATGGCTGATGCTATATATCTTTGCATTATGTTTTAATTTTAGTAATGGTTTTAGCATTGCTTCCATCATTGCCTTTGCAACATCTGCATCCGCTTCCTAGCGGATTTCATTTGATGAGAAGAATTCACCCAAAAGATTAAATATTTTTCCTGACATGCTTGATAATTGGTAGCAGTTTGCAAAGAAACTGTTTTACATGGCTTTGGAAGTAAGCATAAGGAATTCTTAAAACTACTAACCCGATGACATCAGCCGCTTCATCCACTCGCAGAGAAAATTTGCTACACCTGATCTACTGATAAGCGTTTCTTTTACATTACATCGCTTATTTACTGAAGAAAAATGCTATATGACAAACGCATGCACCGTAAATAGACTATAATATATAATACCTAATCCTGTTATGAACATATTCCCTGAGTTTGTGCACGCTAATTTTGTGTAAGCGTGTTACGAATTGTAAAATTAGGCGGGTTTTTCAAGACCAATTTAACTTTTCCCTTTAGGACAAGTGAGAAGAAAAGTTCCGTCATTTGAATTACCAAAAACCGTTCCTAAGTCTATCCACAATTAATCAAAATTTTTCGTTAAATAGATTTTGATGTGCTTTTTGTTTCGCTTAACTACCTCCTTATTATCTTCTCGGATTTGCTCCTTTCTTATTGCGACTTGTTAAGTAAGTGTCAGTAGGCAATCGAAAAAATATATCCATCAGGGCAATAGTGATATTCCAAATTTTAAGCTTTTTTTTCTATTTCTCTGTTTATCACTCTGTCAAACAGGATTAAATTCTTTTATTTTTACATCGCAAATTTATCATTACTAAACAGATAAAATATCATTGATAGAACTACATACTTTATTACATTAATGACTGAAAAAATGACATTCTGATTGACTAAAACTGGTCTGCCATAACGTAAAACATTCTTACGTAGATGTTTGATTCCTTTACCTACTCTAAGGTTTTCGCAGAAATTTTACAGAGTTGCGTTATCAAGGTTATAAGGTATTTCTCTGGCCTTCTTGGAATGCCTCCGTGGTGTGGTGGTCTGCATGCTGGGCGCGTATTCCAGAGGTCCGTAGTTCGATTCCCGGCGAAGGCGTTGCTCATTTTTCATCTCTCCTGCTTCCAAAATACCTAATGTTTCTACATTGGAGCCCGAACTAAAAAAGTTGTGGATGATGATTCTCCACACCCAGGATTTGGCGATTGTGTCCCCTAAAAACCCCAGTCTTCCTTTAAAAGGGAGAGTGTATAAAGTATTTCTCCCGCCTTCTTGGCATGCCTTCGTTGAGAGGTAAAATTAATTTTTATAAACATAGACATCGAATCTCTGAAAAGTTTTTCCAGGTCTTCTCGTATAAGTGACATTACAACACCTTCCTGCATACTAACAAAATATTCAACAGTATAATAAAAAACTGAAACATCTTATTTCTGTGATAAACATTTATCACCATCATGCAATAAAAAGTGCCCGACCTAATCTGGAAATTAATCTGAAATGTCTAGTTGTTCTTACTATTTATTTACAAAGAACGTTTTAAACTGCAAATTTTAACCACTGTAATTCAAAGATTTTATTACTGTGTGCAAAATGTTAAATGTATGTTAAAACATACATCTCTTACGTGACTTATCTAAGAAAAACAGTAAAATTAGTAAAAATTAAAAAAAATATAAAAACGTCATCCTCGAAAGCTTCGATTTGGTATTTCAGCCCATCAGGAAACAAGTACAAGTAGAAGTGGACAAGGTACCAGAAATTCACTATCGTTCAAACAGGTATTGTCTAATAGTACTAACATGCAGCCCAACCCAATTTTGATGGAGACCACGACATGGGACAGATTCGAGAATCTCCAACCCCTCTCATCCTCCAAACCACTCGAGAGAACTTTGGGCTGGCCAGTATTTAAAGTATCCCCGGTCACAACAGTTAACAGACACGCAACTATTCATTTCTACATTTTAAGGCGCGAGGAAGGAGAAGTGTGTTAAGTCCAAAACATATGTTTTCATATATTTCGTGTTATAAATAATACGATTACATCGCGCTTCCTCTAACAAAAGACGAGCAGTCTGCAAAAGATGCGAAATCAATTTTGCAAATTCTTGTTCAGAATTTAATTTTTAGTCCTCCCCCCGATTTTGATTGTACACTGTTCCTTATTCTAAATAAGAAAATTGTTGATTTTTTAAAATTTTTTTCTGGAGCGGTCGAGGATTCCTCGTGAAGCATTTAGGTCTCTACGGAGCACAGTTTGTGAACAGCTTTTCTGGAGTCTTTGCTGCGCAAATTCAAAGTTGTGTATTTCATCAATTCTGAGCAAAGACTAAAATGCAAATAACGTATTTCATATGGGATGGAGGCCACCAGAGGCCGAGCGGTAACATCGTTGAACACTGATAGTGCGACCTGGGATCGAATCGCGGCGAACGGACTGGCAGCATGGTTTGTTTTCCACGTGTAACATGGATACAAGCCAGTTTCTCTGGGAAACTCCTCTTCGAAGGCATCCCTTTTCATAGGCAGATAACTGTCGATCTGCTTTGCCTTAATCTATTAACCCAAACCTAATCATCCATCTGAGATGAGCGTCAAAAGTTTTCCCACATGAAATTAGAAACACCATTAGCAGAAGAATTTTAGACTTTCCAAGCTTGTGTTTTGACATTACACAAAATGGTCAAGAAATGTATGAATCCTTTCTTATTTTGAAGTTCAATATTCGGCATTTTAATACTTTGGCCTAGACATTCTACGTAAAGCCTGCTTTCATACATTTCCGGTAATATATTTATGTAACACTGAGGTTTATTGTTTATAAAACTGTAGTTTGCGTATCTTCACAAGATAAAATATAACAATCAGATACTAGTCCCTTTTTTTAGACTCATTTATTACAGCTTTGAACATCAGGTGTTACAAATCCGAAATACGGTCTGAAAAAATCACAGTTGTTGCGATTCGGTCCAGATCCCTTTTCTTTATTCTTAAGGCTGAGGAGCTTAAACTGAGGATCACTTTTGGAATATAGAGGCCATGACTCGCTTGGTTTCCTATTTGGTAATAAGAGAAAAACTTATAGAGTTTGTTCAAAAGTGTAAAATACAAAAATTATATATGTATATGCTTATAGCATATAAAATACTTAGTTTAAATTTTTCAGAGCAGTTTGTCATTGCGCAAAAGGTGACATAAGTGATATCGGAAATCAGCAAAACAAGCGCAGTACTTTTATCTTCCATATAGTAATAGCACCTCTTTTACAAGGGCAAGAAAGAGTGGGCTAGTAAGTTTTTTAATCACATTTCCACAATTCTCAGTGGCAACTAGATTGTTAACGAAGTATCTGATACTTGAATAATGGACTTCATTTAGCGATTTCATTGTTATCTGTAAGCCGAGTATTTATGTTTTATAATAAATCATAAGCTTCAAGTTTCATGATAAAACTGTAGAAACTCGTTTGAAATATACTGAAAAACATTTTTCGTGTATAACATCTGAAATTCTTTATGCTTCTGATTTTGGCGGCCTATTTATTTTAAGGAAATTCTTTAAAAAGAAATAGCAAATTTCGGTAGATATTATCTATCACTGAAATTAGGTATTAGAAATCATCATCGCCTGAGGAGTTTCAGGATGTACTATTTCTTCGTTTAATAACTTAGGTCATATATTCAGATCACAGTATTCAGTGTAAAATATATAAGATTTACTAAGCAATATTTAAGAATACTGAAACTGTATTGTTGCTGGCTGTGTATTGTTTTGAACTAGATCATAATTTCAGCCATAACTATGAAAGAGTTTAGAGCAAAAAAATCTGAGAGCTCTGCAGATCTAAGATAAACCTAATAATTTCATCTTCCTCCCCAAATTCATTTTCTAAAAAAATATGATAAAAAGAAACCGAAATATTTTAATCACAATGCCATATTCATTAAATTAAATTGTTGTAGTTTTAAAAATTAAATTAAGATATGTTTTCAAAGCTAACCTAAAAATCATTACGATGTTGGAGAGCGTAACATTGTAAAAATCAAAGAAAATGATGTTTATAGAACTCTTAAGATTAGAAAGATAAGAAATCCCAAACATTCAGATTACGAATCGAAACATAACTATTGTATTTAAAGAAACAGATTTATAAAAATAAGTGCAAAATTTAACAAAAGTTCTTATGCAACTGATAGAATGTTCATATCCTTCGGTAGTTTTAGATTTAAAGGCGACTTGAGTTTTGGTTTATTAGTTTGGTTTATTTAATTATGGTTTTGTTTAGATGGTACAAGTTAGTTTAAAAGGTTGAGAACCGCTGTTTTAGAACATATTTAGTGTGAACTTGATTAGCGTTTAAGCGTTTCCCAAATTAGTGTCCGTTATGAAAGTGTGTGAAGACATGGTAAATTCCTCATTGAATTTAAACAAGATGCATATTCGTATCGCATCATATTCAAGTTTATGATAATTTAAATTGAATGTTTCTTTTGCATTTGCTGTATAAAATATGCTTATTTCTATTTAGCGTAATTACTGCATCAACTGCTGGTTTTGCTGCAATTTATTACACTCTAAAGGCCTCACCAATAGCTGAATTGTTAAAAACCACTGAATACTTGTTGTTCAGTCTGATTTAGTTTCGATCCCTGGCGAATGGGTTGCCTGCATGGTTGGTTTTTGTAATTTATCCCGCAAAATAACGTGAATATGAATAAGCTTTCCCCAAGAAAATCCTCCAAAAAGGCAATCTTCCTCTTAGGCATATACAGGATGACAATTGTTGAACTATATGAAATAAAACTGTCATAACTTCTGAACGGTTTGCGTGATGAAGTTCAAACTTCGTGGTTGGCCGCAGGGCATGATGGCAACTAGTATGCGAATGCGCACGCAACTTGCTATTGTCACGGTACAGCGTGCCTGAGCGTATAGCGCGATTGAAAAGTTTGTCCACCCTCTCAAAAGGTGACTGTGTGGTGTGCAGTGTCCAATCACGGAATAATCGGTGCGATATTCGTTAATGGCACGGTAACTACTGAACGATACGTGAGGGTTTTGGAAAATGATTTCATCCCCATTATCCAAAGTGCACCTGATTTCGGCAAGACGTGGTTCATGGAAGACTGAACTCGCCCTCATTGGACCAAGAGAGTGTTTGATGTCCTGGAGGAGAACTTTGGGGACCGCATTCTGGCTTTGGGGTGCCCAGAGGGCACTGGAATGGGACTCGCTTGGCCGCCATATTCTTCGGATCTGAACACGTGTGACTCATTTTTTCACTCATGACTCATTTTGACATTGTCATTATTAAAGACAATGTTTACAAAAGTAGACCAAAATCCATTACTGAGCTGAAAACTTCCATTCAGGAGGTCATCGACAACATCGATGTTCCGACACTTCAGGGGGTCATGCAGAATTTTGCTATCCGTCTGTGCCACATCATAGCCAAAGATGGCAGGCATATCGAACATGTCATAACCTAAATCCGAATATCTATAATGACGTTTACATGTTAATTAAAGTTTGTGCCCTCAGCAGCTTTTAAAAAATTTACGTTTTATTTCATGTTGTTCAATAATTGTCATCCTATATTTCTCATTAATTTGAAATATTCAAATAATCTAATCTATCCTATAACACTATTACATTGTAAATAAAATCTTAACTCTGTTTTCTTCATTACTGTGCTCGTTTCGTCTTCAAGTACATTTCAGTGCATCAGAACTAAAAACTACATGAAGGAAAACTTTTAAACGTATGCGTACATAGCTATTTACCCGAAAACTTTTGTTTACACTTACTCATTTTGGTACTCACGTATTATCCCGTCGACTGCAAACCTATCGCTAAGCAGCGCGATTTAGGGCCAATTAATGTATAAACGTAATACCTGCGCTTACGTATGATGTAATTCCGATTGTTCTCGATAAATCACCTTTTTTATGAACAATGATATAAATTACCTATTACTGCTGTAATTGTTTGTCGCATTTTTATTAAATGATTAAAATTTTAGGCCTGCTTTCCACAAAATAGCAAACAATCCATTATTTTCGATGTTATGGAATCCTATTATCAAAAAAGTATGCATTAATGGACACGATATGGTCAGCTGAATACGGATGACAAAATAGGAATAGATTGGAATAATTACACGTCTGAAATCTGGATTCATAGTGTTCTAAATAGAGCTTCCGGTAAAATCGGAGGACCTAAGAAAACAGTAGAAACCGACGAAAGCCTTTTCACTAAGCGAAAAAAAAAAAAAAAGAAGCATGTAAACAGCCAATTGCTCATTAAGGCATCAATTCCTTCGCATAATTACAGCCGCCGAGCGGTAACGTCGCTGAACCTCGGTGGTTAGACCTGGGCTCGATTCTAGGCGAATGACTGGCTGCATGGGAGTTCTCGTCGTTTTTTTTTTTTGTGCGTAACGTGGATATTAGTCAGTTTCCTCAGAAAATGCTCCACGAAAACATCGTCTCACTTAGATAGATAGCTCTTGTGTAGTTTGCGGTAATCAAATAAAGCAAACAAAACCACACTTTTAAGAATTCCTTAGAAACATTTGGCGCAATTTTGGTGAAATCTAAGCCTTCTATGATTGCCGATTTTTACGACGGATGGGATAATACGTAACCTTATGTTTTTAAAACTTTTACTTTTGCCCGAATACTTACCCATTTTTGACAAAATTTGTCCAATACTCAATCAATTGAGAGCTAAGGTGAACTTCCTCGGGCTCATAATTGTGTGGATGCTTCAGAGGATCTCCAAAAACAAACTGCACTTCAGAAAAATGGGCCGCACCCATCCACGGGGCCCAACGAGTTGTACTTGGGCGATGGTCCCACAGGTAAAAGTATACGTTATTACCTTTTTCAGCATATCTCTCAGCGAAATAGACAGTCGGACAAAGCAATGAAAAGTCACCAGAAGCAGTATAAACTTGTTGGCGTATTAATTCATGCTGGTCTTCGGTAATGTTATCAGGTAAGTAGTGTTTCACCACTCCTTCTGTGTTAGAAAATTTGGCAAAGATTTCTCGGATCAAATCTTCACCAAATGTATTATTGATATGAGGATCTTTTTCGCCAAAGAAGCCAAAAGTATCTATGTATTTAACGGCTACCTGAAAAGGAAAGACGATATAAAAACGAAATAAATTTTATTGATGTAATAAATTCTAAAAAACAAACTAAGATCTCCATTCCATATTTACTTTTGGAATATATACATATATATTTTGTTGCTGGATATTATATATTTTGTTGCTGGATTGGTAGCAGCTGTTGAATAAGTAATTTACTTTGTTAAAAATAACAGTTTGATATATATATACTATATATATATAGCAAGAAAGGAGAAAAAACTAAAAAAGACCTGTGCGGTCAAGAATTTTGCGCATTGAGCTGCAAAATTTGGAAACAAGGCAAAAAGGAAATTCTTCATGCTTATTGCTTAAAAGCAAATGTGATACTGTGTTTCCGTGTAAAATTTTTTAACATTATGTAAAAATAAATTGCATTACAAAAAGTTTAAATAAAGTATGAAATACTTAACAAGAAAACTGGCAAATAAAAAGTGAATGTAAAACTCAAATCAAATTTAAAAGTTAAAAATGTTGATGAAAGTTTAAACAATCCTAAAACATTTAAAAATAAACACTAAAATTATTTAAAACTAAAATTATTTAAAACACAAGCAAAATTACAAAGAAGCGGTAAATGGTAAATTAGCCTAATTCGAATCTCATTACGGACTTATCAACGGAAAGGCACAATGAGTTTCGAATCCAGCTAATTCCATAACGCGTTTCGCCAAAACATGAAGAATGGAGACTGTACACGAAAAAACGTTTTGAGTATTAAGCAGACAAAAACATCTAATGTAACTTAAGTCTCAATTTTTCTGTTTCATTTCCCGACGCGACCGCTGGTTAAAAGTAAATGAGAAACACATTAATGGTGCAAGGAAAAAAAAAAAAAAAAAAACTATAGAAACTGGCCTGGTAAGGCAATGTACAGAATAAAATAAATAGCGAATTGCTATTAGTCAACATATACATAATTTTAATATATATATATGATGAGTTTATCTGCAATTTATCAGGTATTTGTGTTGCGACTAATTTCGCTTGTCTGATATCAGACCAAGCCAACGAAATTCATCTTGGCAAGGAGACAAGATTGCGCCTGCCATTGGCAACAGCTTTGAACACCATATAGGAGACAGTAATATTTTGCTCAGTTCCGCCTCCAATTTTCAAGGAGAGCACTCGGAGGGGGGACAGGTCCGAGGATCTCCCATCCCTCTTCTCTTACCATAGGCCTCTCGAGAGAACTTTCAGCTCACCAGATATTTTGACTGTCCTCATGCCGCAGAGACATTGTACATTTACAAATATCCATGCCTTCTCCGGCACTCAAACCAGAGCCCTTTGGTACGGCAGTCAGAATCACTAACCAATATTTCTGTTCGGCGGCTTACATTTCGGTTTACATTTAAAATAAACAACAGTTTATTAATTTGTTCTTCTCATTTTCGAATTGCAGCTCAAATAACTTAAATTTCTCTCTCTATATAAATGTATATATTTTATCATGCGATACGTGTTGTACTTTCATTATAATTCAACATAAAATGTTAACTCTCGAATGTTCTTAAAGAGAAACACGTCAGTATAGAATTTAAAAGTAAAGCGAAGAAACGTTAGTTTGGAACGGATTTTGAAATCTACGTCACATTAAGTTTGAAGTTTGCCTAATTATACTTAATCTTTGAGCATATTATACTTTGGGAAAACCAAAAAGACTTATACAGTAATTCTATGAAACGAAACATGGAGATTAGGCTGGAGATGTTTTAAGTTCAAAGAAAAGAAATAAGGGCACCAAGAATGGATGAAATGCCACTTGCTCGACTGTCGTGTTTGTTTATGAGTGAGTCCTTTCTACTTTGTAAACCGAATCGTGATTTCTTTGGTAGTATGGATTATTTTAACTGGCATTAATACATTGTTAAAAGGTTAGTTTTTTTTAATCGGTTAATCAGTTACTGAGGAAACAAAAGCGGTATGAGTACCAATGTAAATTACTTCCGTTATATCGTTCATACAGAGTATTTACTCGAAAATATTTTGATGTAATACCTTAACCATGATAAGATACATATTTTATTTTAAGAGATAAAAATATAGTTATACTAGCTTTTATCCCCGGCTTCACTCCCGTTGATGCTCTTAAATAAGTTTCAACTCCGCGTGAATTTTAAAAAATACACTCCGCGTAAAATTTCAGTAAATACTGTTCTTCTTCAATACCTAATAGGCCGCGGATATTTTGTATTTACGCGGAGTGTATCGCCCCAAAATCTAGTAAAACTGCTGCGAATATTTCATAATCACTGAAAAATATTTATGAAAGAAAAGCGAAAAGCCGAATATCTTGAAGGATTTTAAATAATAAATTAAATTAAACAAATAAAAATGAATAAACGCTTAATTAATAAATATTACGCTTTCATACCTTAACTACTTAACCGATCATCATGAAATTTTCAAGAAATATTTTTGATATATTAGGAAAGGTTATAGGCTATATAACGTTTATGTGGTTTAAGCCACGCGCCTACGCGCGAAGACAAACTTTTAATCGTTTGACTTATCGTTATGAAACTTTCAACATTTAATGTTTATAAAACGACAATCATTTTAAGCTATAAAACCTATTATATCGTTTAAGTTTCAACAAATAAGTTATATTTTATAGCCTACAACCTTTTCTAATATATCAAAAATATTTTTTGAAAATTTCATGATAATCGGTTAAGTAATTAAGGCGTGAAAGCATAACAAATAAACAAACTCACAGTCGCATTTATAATATTAGTAAGGATATTTATTTGGCCACGCAGTTATTTTGAGAAAGAAAGTCAATTATTTATTTTTTATATTCCATCAGAATTTTCTTGAAATAGTAAAACTGTTAATTAGAGCCTAAGGATACTGTTAGCGAACGTCGTTTGCTATCAGTTTGTTTTTTACAATATGTATACGAAGATGCCGAGTGTAATTTAGTATTAAGAAAATATAGTTACTAAAATTATTTTATGAAAAATAATGCAAACGGAGATATTTTCAGTAGAGTTGTCGTCCGGAATGCTAACACAGAAATTAAAAATATTCATTTATGCTACCAGAAATTAATTTCACCATTGAAGTATAGATGGCGCCAAAAGCTTAAGAGGTTTAAAAAAGCTTCTTAAATGGGAGAAGACTTGGGGGGGGGGATATGAAATCGTTCAGATTTAATCAGTACAGATTATCAATGGAGGAGATTGGATTGTGAAACATTTTACAGGACAGTAGATGAATAATATTTAAACTAATATGGAAACGCTATGTATCTTCTGTATATTCGAAAAGTGAAAGGATTTATAACGTAATTCTATAATAATAATATTTAATGCTTTTAATAAGATGTATCATGAATTGAATTAATTTTTAATTAAATTAATCGGATTAAAAAATTAAAAGTAATATTTTTAAGAACTGCATCTATTGCTTTTAAATGGCTTAGAGTGTTAAGATAAATAACAGACAGATAAAATTTGAAGGAAAAATACCCTATACCTAGCTGAAGAGCAACAGACTCGAATGAAAAGTGAAACGACACCAAAATCGTGTTTCGAGACAAATAGCCCTTTTTGGGGAGGAGGGGGGGAAGAAGGAAAATTTTATGAGATGCGCTAAAAATCAAAATTTATTTAGGAATGCCATGTAATAGTTTAGGACTTATTTCTTCCAAGTTCTTCAAGATGTGTTAACAATAACTCAGTTATATTTTCTCACTTTCTATACATACGATTTATAATTCAAACATTTCTTTAAAATGAAAGAAATAAATATTCTATCGAATGCCTTTTTGTTTGCTACTGTATTAATGATATTGCAAGATTAAGCTTTACAAGATTTACTTTTAATTCTTCTGCTTGTAATGCTCATATTTGAAAGAAAGGTAAATGTGTCTAGTACTTTGTGGTTTAAAATAGTGATGTAAAATATTTGTTTTGGAGAAGGATAACCCGGTAAAAAACTGCAGAAATAGGCAATTGAACTAATAAAAGTATAAATGGAGATCCGACGATGAAGTGCTAAAACTAATTTTGTTGTTTTTTACATTGCCTGTTCAATACTGTGTAACATCTGCTGTGAGTTCCATCTACTTAGCTATTAGAATTATAGTCTTAATAAGGTGTTATCCTTGTCTTAGGAGGTGAATTACCACCAACAAAATAACTAACCATCAAAAACACAGACACGTAATTAAAGCACTTTAAGTTCATTCTACATCACCACTTGTGGGAGATTAAATTAAACTATACAAACATAAAATTACCAGCCAATCTGGATCCGATTTCAGCTCAAAGCTTATAAATTCAACTATATTAAACTTACCTAGGCAGAGACTACAAGCTTACCCGGACCGCAAAACAGGGCCTAATTAAGACTTTTATAGACCCTAAGCGCTTGAAAGATTTTGGTGTGTCAACAATTTGACTTGAAAGATTCTGAAGAATCGGATGTCGTGTTACAAGAAGAACTGACTGAAATAAGCATTAATGAAGAACTTTAAGGTGCGGTTTAAAGGAGGTGTATCAACAATTCTGGCTTCAGAGAGAGTTAAATGTTACTCATCCTGCATTATAGACTGTCGCAAGACTGTTTTTTGTTATTTTTCACACTTTATATCTCAGGGGTGTCAGCGCTGCCGCCAAATTTCTTGAGGGAGAGGAAGACGGACTGGAAATTATTGGCCAAGGAGATTTAAGGTTAAGCATCACTAATTTGAAGCCAAATATTAAAAATTTCTCCAAAAGCATCAGCTTCATCCGTCCCATTAAAAGCATTGATTTTTTGTGTATTTATTTTATCTAAGAATCTTACTAGATTTGCATTTTATGTAATCTTGATTAACAAAGGTATATGAATGAAAACCTAACATGTTTTCTTTATTTTTAATATTTCAGTGTACTGTAAACTCTATCATAGTAAGCAGCTTTTTGTCAAGCACAAAAACACGATTGAAATTGATGAATTTCTAAGAATTTAATATTAGGGTACGTTATAAAGCCGCTCAACCAGTGTAAAATTTCATCTGATAAAATTTTCAGCCTGTCAGGGAAATTTCGCTCTTGTCATGGACAGACGTCTACATTTTGCTTTCATCCGAATGTTTTGGAACGCCTTTGGTGAAACTTTAACCTTCGGTTTTACTCTGTTTTGGAACGCTCATTATATACATTACACTGCCTGAGTAGCTTTGGAACGCTCCTAGGAAGGGGTTTACGAAAAACAGAAAAAAATCGCAAATAGTCAACGGGACAAAAAATGTTTGGAAACCTCTGGTCTAAATTATTCAGAGCAAACCAGCTTTAGCATCTCCAGCAGTTTGATTTCTTCGATCTGCACGGCAGCGGTGCGCAAGCCCAAAATCTCCCACTAGTAAAATTCTATACTTTATAGTCAATTTGCTGGCTACTTAAAATTTACATAAATTCTGGAATGAGCAAAACTCTTGGCGAAAAGAGACAGAAAGGAAAGAAATAAAATTAAATAACGTTTCACATTTGGTACTATCTTATCAGGGAACCACATTTACCACATTTGGTAATATCTTATCAGGGAAGACAAATTCCGTTTGTATGTATGCTAATTGTAATATATCATGTATTACTCTTTAAATAGCAAAATATTTACCTGAAATGATCCTTCATCCCCATTGTTTCCAAGTAAGACTTCATTATCCTGAAAATTGCCTTCAATTATGGACACACGAGGATTCTTTGGCAACAGAGCATCTCCCCATTGTGGAATAAAACTTCTAGTAGAATATGGATCTATGCTGGCTTCAGCTTTAATCAGATCCATTGCATCAATTTCTAAAAAACAAAACATTTTACGTAACTAAAAGTAACGTAGATATACAGTACAAAAGGCAAAGATGGTTTTGATCAAAGAATTATAGTCATTTTAGATTTAAAACGCAGCTTAATACAGAATAATTCATGCGTGAATTTATATGAGATGACGGATCTCAAAGAGCCACAGTTGTCAGCGACGGTGAAGAGTTGATTATGAGAAGTTTATAAAATATTAACTAAGTTGCAGTGAAGATTAAAAGTCATATTATAGTATGTTTAACTACTTAAGTATTAGACGCTGAGTTATTAGAACCATATAGACAATCAGTTGACTTATTGTCTTGTATAACCTTCTAACTACAACACTCATAGCTCAAAGTAAAATTTCACTAACACACCAATCTGACTTTTATATAAAACGGAAAAAATATAAATAGACATAAACTCCGCTATTGCGGAAAGTTCGGAATAAATACTTAAGTCTAATTTGAATGGGAAATATAAACTAAAAAGTGTCTAATTAAGCCTTGATTCGGCCCTAAGTATTCGCGAAGCCGAAGCTGCTTGCCGAAGCTAAAGTTGATTAATTCACTTCAAAGAACGTAAAGCGCAGCAGAGTAGCAGTTAGCTTGCACTTGCAAAAGCTCTCTTTCAAACTCTATAATACTACACCTTTTTAACTCATTTACCTTTTGATGGGAGTATAGGCCAGCTAATAAGATAATCGGGTTAATTAACATAAAATCTTACATTATCAATGTTTAACAAATCATGTGACTGAAAGCATAATTTTCTTTGCCATTCGCTAAAGCCCTCTTCCTGCCAGCCCTAGTGATATAAAGAAACGTCAAGTTGTGCATTGTAAAAGTTTTCGAAAAATTACGGTAGTGTTTTATATCAAGATAAATTCGTGAACGTATTTCCTTCTCATTTGCAATATAAACTTGTATTATTCTGCAATAAAACATTTTAATGATGCAATAAACATCATATTTTAACCTTTTAGTTAATATGGTAAAATAATTGTGTATAGGTATCATGATATGTTTCTTATGGCATATTAAGGAAATAATATATTTTTTGAACGTAAATGATATAGGAAATAATATATTTTTTGAACGCAATATATTTTTTGAACATAAATGCCAATTAGATACCCATAAGAATGATAAATGCTTTTGAAATAAAATACTTGAAAATGATAAAGATAACCTGATATACATAATAACCTGCAGAAAAAACGAGAACGTCATTAAATAAATCGTGGTGCATGGGACCGTGATATAAGTAATGTTCAAGTTTAAAGGTTATTTAGAAAGTTCTCGGGGAAGGCACCATCTTATGACTTTCCGCATCTCCCCTTCTCAATTACGCAAGTTAACAGAGGCAAACAGCTTTTCTTCTGTTACTGTTTACTAACTTCTTTTTTTTAAAAGTTCATGATTTTATTGCGTAATGTAACTCAGGCTGTAATTCAGAGAAATAAGTCAAAGATGTTTGTTAATACGCAATCAACAAACTCAAGATATGAATTCCTGTGGAGGGAGCCAAATGAAACATAATCTGGATAAATGAGTTTAAAAATGAGAGGTGATTGATTGAAAATTGCACTTTGAAGCGTATTCTGTGCTTCGATTTATAAAATGAAACGTCAGTTGCATTAATGAAGACGTAGATATGAAGGCTATTAATAAATTAGTTACATTTCAGATATGTATAATGTACCGGGTGATCAAAAAGTCAGTATAAATTTGAAAACTTAATAAATCACGGAATAATGTAGATAGAGAGGTACAAATTGACACACATACTTAGAATGACATGGGGTTTTATTAGGAAAGCAATAATTAGAAAAGCAATAATCTGATCAGAAAAGCAATAATTAGCATAACAAATTAAGACAAAGCAAAGATGATGTTTTTTACAGGAAATGCTCAATATGTTCACAATCATTCCTCAACAGTAGCTGTAGTCGAGGAATAATGTTGTGAACAGCACTGTAAAGCATGTCCGGAGTTATGTTGAGGCATTGGCGTCGGATGTTGTCTTTCAGCATTCCTAGAGATGTCAGTCGATCACGATACACTTGCGACTTCAGGTAACCCCAAAGCCAATAATCGCACGGACTGAGGTCTGGGGAGCTGGGAGGCCAAGCATGACGAAAGTGGCGGCTGAGCACACGATCATGACCAAACAACGCGCGCAAGAGATCTTTCACGCGTCTAGCAATATGGGGTGGAGCGGCATCCTGCATAAAAACGTACGTTCCAGCAGGTGTTTATCAGCCAGGCTGGGGACGATGCGATTCTGTAACATATCGGCGTACCTCTCACTCGTCACGGTAGCAGTTACAAAACCAGAATCACGCATTTCCTCGAAGAAAAAAGGCCCGATAACAGTAATCTGTCGGACATTTTTTGAGCTTTTTTTTTTTTTTTTTGGTTGTAATAAAACCCCATATCATTCTAAGTATGTGTGTCAATTTTTACCTCTCTATCTACATTATTCCGTGATTTATTAAGTTTTCAAATTTATACTGACTTTTTGATCACCCTGTATATAATTAACAACATTACCGTCTATATTATATTTAACAATTAATTCCGTAAGTTGAAAAATTATTAGTTTGGTTAGGTTTATTACATTATGGCAAAGCCCTCGAGGGCTATCTGCCTTAATGAAGGGATGAGGACTTTTTAAGGGAAACTGGCTCGCATACACGTTACACATGGGGTAAACCACGAAAACGCCAATGCAGCTAGCCCGTTCGCGGGATTCGAGCCTCGGACCGAACTACTAGTGTTCAGCGACGTTACCGCTCGGCCGCTGGTGGGCGAAAAATTATTAGTAAATATACATGAAATTTGACAAATAACCTATTTAATTTACAGTAATCATTGCATGTACTTCAGTTTTATTGAAATTCTATTTAAGAATTTAAATCTTCCAAATTCATAAACATTTTATTAACGTTTCAGATGCCATTTTCGTCAGTCAGGAAAATTTTATGTGAAGGTAATGGAGTTTTAAGTTTTCATATAGAAACAAGGTGTGTTCCAAAAAGTTAAAAGCAGGCTTTGTTATCTTAAATATTGATTATGGACTTGCGGTCCAGTTTCAGATTATCTAGCAGTACAATGAAGAATTTTTTAAACATACTAAAAAAGAAGGTGGAAATATACTCCGTTAACATTCAAGTTCTTCTTAACGCAGATTTGAACTTTTACAAATTCTTTAACACTTAAATTACAGACGCTGCTGTTAATCATCACAATGAAATATTGTAAATTTTAATTAACCACTTGTGAGAGATTAATCTATGTTACTAAAGAAATATGCATTCTTCTTTTCAGATAGAAAATGAGATTCTCCATTTCGTCATAAAGAATGAAGTGAATCGTTTGATAGATTGCCAACAGCAGAAGAGTAATCATATCGAACGACAGCAATTTTAGTTTGCGCTGAATGTTAAAGGTAACAAAAGTGGCCACAGTTATCCTCCTAACAAAATGAAATTTACCTCTCGTTATAGTAATAACCTCCTGACTGGAAGTTATTTTAGACGTACGCAGGTACTGTGTGCGGGACACCAGAATTTTACCATTGGTCTAATAGGTATAATCCCATCCGACTAACTGTGCAGTTTTGATCTCTCAGACAGATTAATGTAACGTGAGACAAGATCTCTCAGTTTTAGGGAAAAGCTACCCTGAGGGAGATCAGAATGTCTCCTACCTCTCTTCCTCTATCATCAACGTCTCGAAAAAAGTTTCAGTGGGCACTATATTTTGACTGATCCCTTGCCGCACAGATACTATGCGCTTACAAACATCCAAGCCTTCTCCGGGCTTCCAACCCGAACACATCATATTCAGACACATCCTAGCAAGGAGAACCACCCAGACCTAGGATGTCTAGTAGCCCATAAGACGGTTTTAAAGTCTGTCGTGCCAGAAAAGATCCCAGGACCCTCAAGGTCCCAGGCCCCTGATGGACCACCCTTATGTTATTTAAGAAAACACAAAAAGTGATGCAAATTTATTACATTCTGAAGGATCGTATTACTATTTTCGTTTTTGTTTAAAATTCGCCTATAATAAACTATTTTGATGATATTCCATCGTACGATCATTTCAGAGTGCATTATGTATGAGGTCCTCAGGAAATAAAATATGAAATTACTGGACTATCCACAGCAACTTAAATAGCTAAAAATAAAAGAATAAATGGAGTTTCAAACTTCTAGCAGATATTCGAGAGAAAAAACTTTTAGGTGACCATCTAAATTCAGGATTTTGGGGAATGCATTTGGGAAGTTACCATTACAAACAAAATTTATCTATTTTCCAAGTTAATGATTTCTCCGTGTTAGACAAAAGAGTTATCGTTATCGTTATTTAAGTGTAACTGACCGCTTATAACAGTATTTAGGCATATCTTACAAACGTTTGGTCAACTAATTGAAGTGATAGTAATATTTTGCTGATTTGAAGTTTTAATCTGTGGATAATAAATACCAGCTAGATTCACAGGGAGAGGGAATCAAAACGCTTCCCAATTTTGGTATTGGAATTAATTTCATAAAGGTCGGCAATTTATTTAAAAAAGCTTTGAAATGGACGTACTTTCAGCTATAAAAATGTTTTCAATAAGGCACATACTTATGTTTTGACATTTTAAAATTTATTTAACGTTTTTTAAAAATAACGAAATGTAACTTTTAAAACCATCTTCTGTTTCCTATATTTATAGTAAAAAAGTTTATACTCGTTTAAAAAAATGAAACAAAAATTGTTTTAAGACAAAATACGATAAAATTAAATAGAAGGATTTAGTTAAAAATAAAACATCACTTTAGTGAAAAGTTTTCTGACGTCCATAGATTACGTTACGAACATTGGTACGCAATCATTTTTTATTTGATTACGGCGACGCACACAAGGGTGTCCGCCAATGAAAGGGATGCCCCTTGGAGGATTTTTAAGGAAAACTGGCTCGTTTTCATATTATACATGCATAACTGCCCAGATAGTATAGTGGTTAGGGAGTCTGACTGCGATGCCGAAGGCCTGGGTTCGAATCAAGAAGAAGGCATGGATGTAAAATTGTCCATCTCTTCATAGGACGTAACGGTGGCCGTTACCTCCTATGAAGGAACAGATAGGACTATATGAACGGTTGGACCTATTAGTTGCCTGTGCAATAAAATGTCCATCACTTCTGGCCTTAGGAGTGGCCAATGCCGTTATTGGCAAATGCCCGCCATTAGAAAAAATTATATATTATACATACATAAGACCATGAAAACGCCTAAGCATCCGTGCCTGTTCGCCGGAATCCCGGACCGCACTACCACTAGCGTAAAATAATAGTGTAAAATAATCGACACAATAGCAGCACTTGAACAAGATCTCTGCCAAACACAATAATGACAATTGCAATACACAATCAATCATTAGTATACACACGTCCATCATGTTATTTGCATTTATTATAATTATACTCTGTGCTTACATAGTATTTTGCTGAAAGCCTTATATGACTATTTATGCGTTATTTGCATTTAAATTAGTTATTTTATATATAATTAGTTTTTAATGCTATTAATGCGTCTGTTCTTTGTATTTTTATTTATATTTTTATTCTGTTTTACTTTTATTGTAGTTCATTTATGTATGTTAATAATTGTAAGAAGTCTTTCAGCTTCTTTAAATCTGTATTTTTTTTATGTTTATTTATGTGTTTATTTATATGTTTACCTATATATTTAATTGTATGTCTATTATTTATATGTTATGTATTTATGTATGTATATGTCCACCATCATCTGAACGCATGTCAAGAATATAGCAATGTACAACGAATATGTCAAAAGAGCGCTTGTATGACAATATATGCATTACGTTTAAAACTAAATAAACTCCCGATTCGGCCCTGGGAGGACGTGGGACACATGCCTGTTTACCTATGTTATACATCAGGCGTCCCTGTCCTCCATCACCTACCTACCTACTACCACTAGCGACTTCACCGTTCGGCCTCTAGCAGGTTGATATGAGCCTGTCATGAAAAGCTTTGGTCAATGCTTTTCATGACAAATTATTAGATTATAATTATGATGCTGTAGAGTCATTAGGTTATTTTTAAAACAAGAGAGATGAAAAAAAAGCAATACCCTCGTTAGGACTCGAACCACGGGCCTCTCGAATACACGCCGAGTGTGCTGACCACTACACCACGAAGGCATGCTAAGAAGGGCGGAGTAATAAAGTAATAAAACTGCATCTGAAAGCTTTTTTAACATATTTTAGCATTTGAAAACTTACAAAATATTTGTGTGAAAGTGACATAAGTATGTTAAATATCAGAAAATTATTAATTGAATATAATTACCTACTAGTAAATCCCAGATATATATTACTGAATTACAGCAAATAGAAGAAAAATCAATTTGGAATAACCCAAATTTATTTATTAACGAACATTTCAAGAAAAGTGACAATGTTTGCCTTTTTAGCATTGATCAAAGTAAAAAATTTCAAACTTTGAAATTGAATATCTTGTTCATGTCAAACGAGTCTAAGAACAAATGTTTAATGAATATAACTATATGAACAAGGGGACCGTAAAAAGAGTAAGGATTCTTAAATTTTACAAAAATAACTTTCTGTGTAAAAGTCCACTACATGAATATTTATATCATTTGGAACATGTTTTTTACTGAGAGTGCATGTCTACGAGAAATATGTGCGAACATAATGGCCGCCAATGATACATTTTAGAATTAATTTTCAAGGATATAAAGCTCGCAGTCAATTCCTTCGAATGCATCTTACAGGTTTGTTTTGTATACAGTGAAATGTAAAGTTGTGGTCATCACTGTTACATAAAATGCTTCTGTTAAACTGTACCTCTTAAGCATTTCACAACTTCGCTAGGTGCCGTCACGATGGAATGCCTTTCATTTGCACATCCAACTAGTTCTGCCAGTAATTGACTTCGATCCAAGTTTTGTGTGTTGTTATCGGCATTTGTGTATGCTGGTGATCCGCTTTCCATAATCTGTCTCTTATAAAGTCCGCGAGCTAAAGGTGACACTGACAGTAGCCCTGCAGCAATGGATCCAGCACTTTCTCCAGCAATCGTAATTCTGCTCACATCGCCACCGAAAGCTTCGATATTCTCATTAACCCACTGAAGTCCAGTCAGTATATCCCAGATTCCTGTAAAATAAGACGGAATTATTAGATTCAGCTTTGCTTTGTAGTTTCACATTAAACAGGAAATGGAAGTACCTCATTATCGAATAAGCATTGATGCAAGACGAAAGGGGCGTAATGCGTTCAATTAACAGAAATGAATTTATGCTCTACTAATATTAATACCGCTAAAACAATTTTAGTTTGGAATGCTTTATTGCTGATATGAGCTACCAGTTTGCTTCTATGTATTTAATTAACTTCCGCTAAAAAAAAAGTGAAATGAACAATATGATTTCCTAACTATAACGTTTTACGCTCTAACATTTTAAAGGAAAGTCTATCGGTAATGAAGAATTATTTTTTGATCCATATGAAATTTCAGATATAACAAATGCATGTAAATGATAACCATAAAGATACTATTTAAAAGCTAAGTAAGTTTTAGAAAGCTAGTATGTTTGCTTAAATTATTAATATAAGGTAATAATAAGAATTCAGTGCATTAAAGACGCATTGTTCGGAGAAAATTCAGTTCGGAATTATTGTTATTTCTAGCAGTGTTTATGTAAAATGTTACTCTTATATTTGAAAAAATTTCACGATTTTCATTTGAATTATGCGATTTAAATCGGAATGTATGTAAGGTTAAACTTTGCAAAGTGAATTTTCATTTTCTTTCTGATAATACCCATACTTTAAGCATGCATCATAATGTGCATTTTTCCAGCATCTTCATGCTGGAATCTTCTGCATGGCATTTTAGTCTCCTGCAATTAATTGCTAGACAATATCTTAGCAAGCTCTAGTCCATGGTTGTTTAAAAAAACAAGGGCCTGATTGGTCATCACAGAATAGACTCAATAACAGATGTGAGTTTTCAGACTTCCACGTATGGTAATTTTGGCAAAAGATATATCCACTTTGGTGAATACCTCATCAATAAAAAATACCCATCTACATATACCATCCTTCAAAATACATTTCACATTACGAAAGAGCTAACATAATATATATATCAAGATAGAAGAGAAACACGCCAAAGTAAAATATAAAATTAGATAAAGCAAAAGAGCTTGTGTTTGGCGTAGATTTTAGTTTTTTAGCTGTTATCTTATCAGGTTCAATGTTCCGTCTTACTTTCTTCGGGAACATGCAAGGACCTGACTCGGAACAGTGAGCTTACTAAAGCTATGTTCAATAACTGTGGGAAGTAGACAGGATACACAAGAAGGGTATACAAAACCCTTTATTTTTCTGTATTTACAATAACTTCCGTACTTCGGAATACAAAGACCCACTACTTGTGGTCTAAACGTAAAAATATAAAAATAAAACTAAACTCTTAACTTTGAAATAATAAACGTGGAAGATTGGCCTTATATTAACAGGAAGCCGTATGTAGTACAGAGAACTGCTAACACTACAATACGTTTAAAGTTATCAAGAGGATTAAACCTCTGGCCTGGAAGGCAACCAGCAACTGAGTGAAACTTCTAAGGTAAGCGGCCTGCTTCGACTAACTGCTTCCTCTCTCTCGCTTGGCAAAAAGCCACAACTTAAATACTTGGCGTTCGCCAGACAAACTTTTCATAAATACGTTAACGCTTATAATTCTGGCCGGAAGTAGAAAATAAGAAGTGATAGTAAAGATTTAAAATAAAATAAACATTAGTAAAACTTAAGATCCTTACAATCTGTTGCTTTGCTTAATTTTACGCAATATATACATGTTTAGTTTTCTCCATACACGATAAATCCGAAACTTGTATTGAAAATATAATTCATCTGTTCTTGTTTTGTTATTAATATCATGTGTCTTATGTAATCAGAACAAGCCCACGAAGTACAAAATAGCATCAGTCGATGGCCAGAGCCCATACATTCAAGAGGTATGGGCTCTGGCCTATTCCTCTTGGGTATCTTGGATCATACCTCTTGGATAGAGAGGTGATAATCAAACTTTAATTTCAATTCCACCCTCAGGGAGATTTCAATTCCACCTCAGGGAGAGCACCAGGGGGACAGGATCCGAGGGCCTTCCAGCATTCTTTTCCCACCGAAAACCTCTCGAGAGGACTTTCGACTCTCCACAGATTTTGAGTGTTCCATGACGCCACAGACAGTATACATTTACAAAGAGCCATGTCTTCTCCGTGATTCAAAACCGGGTCCTTCTATTCGGCAGTCAGCATCGCTTACCACTTTCCCATCTGGGTGGCTACGATTCATCTGACCAGTCCATACTAAATCAGTCATCTATAATCATATATTTATTTAAACAGGTGAGGCACCTGGATCTCATACCATGTCATTTACCGAATTTCACAGAAAACAAAATGAACTAGTTGAGTTTATATGTTTAATTTATCGGTAGTACGATTACTGAAAGCCTACTGTTTTTAAAGTTTGCCTTACTTGGAACTGACATATTATCTATCAATATAGTCTTGTTACTTTTATCCAGTGCCTGGTAATTTATTTATATAAGCAGAGCTGGATTAACCATGAGGCAAAATAAGCACATGATTAGAGCATGAAGTACTGAAGGCATCACAAAAAATATGCTTAGAGATTAATGGAAAGGGAGCAACACAAAAATGTTTTCTTTGCCGAATTAACCAAGGGATGTTTACTATAACTGAAAACCAAGTTTGACAGGGAAGAAATTTGGAAGACACAGGTGTTATACTAATGTAAATGTACGTAGTGGCAGCAGATCCTTTGAGGTGTTTAGGGTTTCTAAAACTCATAATGCAACCCCGTAATAAGCATATGATTTATTATACTAATATATCTCTAGTCACATTCTGCACTGAAGTAAAACTGCCAAGACTCACATTTATTTTCTATACATGTAAGGAAAATAAAGAATATATAAAAGATTAAATTAACGATTCAAATCAGATGATTCTTACGTAATTATGATGGTGTAAATGGAACTAAAACTCAACCAGCCAATAGTAATTTTACAGAAATATTAACTATCAATCACAATGCTTTGAAAACCAAAACTAACTCAGTCTGATTTGAGATTTCATCCTAACATTACGCACTTTCTTTCTACGCTTTGGCTTAGCTACACTGATGTCTGTTCGCTGCTGCTTTCTTTCTACAAAGTTATAAAAAATGTAAGCCTTTCGGAACAGGCATATTTAATGTGCCGATTTGTAGCCGTAACAATTTGCTGAAAATAAAACTGAAGATTTTGTCTGCCTTCGCCTACAATTTCCTAGTCATTATGTAACAACACATACGTAATCCAAATTCCTACTCCTGCTCTTGAATTACTTCTGACTTTGTTTTTATTACATACATACATACATACATTATCGACTGCATCCATTTCGAATGCGACAGGTGGAGTCACAAAAGAAAATTTACAGTTAATGCATATTGACCTTTTAATTTACACCTGCTCATAAAATCTGCGGTGCAACAAATATTTTTGCTTTCTATGTATGTATGTAAAAGTTGGGCCTTTTTTATTATTTTCACCGATGAATAAATCAGAATTTTCTGTATAGAAATTATAATTCGTTTTTTCATTTTTTTTAAATGAATAAAAATTTAGTAGTGATTCACCTTATTAATTTTAGTATAACTTTTAAAAATGATTTCCTAGAAAATGTTTTCATTATCATTATTGACCCAACAACCAGTAAATAAATTTTCCTTGTTTTTAAACTCATGATTAAGAGATGAAATACTTTTCATTGGTGAATCAAAAATATTCTGTAAAATCATTTACTGCACATTTTAATGTACGAATGAATATGCTAAAAATGTACGTTAAAAATTACAAAAAATAGTTTATTAGTGGAAAACATTAACTGTTACAAAAAACTGTACTTAATTTAAAATAAATTTTATATGTAACGTTTATAGGTTTAGGTACAAGTTCTTTGACGATGTTAGATAGCATAATGTGTATTACACATTTTAAATGAATGAATTTCACTTCTCTGATGTTTAACACATTTATCGCTCCAGAATATTATATAAATTGATTGAAACATGAATGTTAGTTTTCAGGCTTATTCTGAAAGTATGCATAAACATAATTAGCATTTTATTATTTTTGTGTGCATTTTTTTTAACAAAGTTTTATGTTTTTTTTTTTTTTTTTTTTTTTTTTTTTTTTTTTTTTCGATGTGCAATCACCAGTACCCATCACAGCACTAATGAAATAATTTTACTGCATGCCCCGAACGAATAGCGTTGCCAACCACTTTGCTTTGTTTGTTCCATAATTACTTCTATTACGTTGTAATCTTGATATTTTCTATTTTCTTACCACGTTTATAAAGTCACGTTTGAACCTAAAGAGTTATTTTTTACGCACATTCTTGTACAAATGAGCAATGTTTCTTTCAAACATTATTCTCAGGCCAAATCTCAGCAAGAAGCAGAAGGGCTATGTGGGTCACTTTACGTAGTCAAATACACACAGAATGCGACCGGTGTAGCATTGAACGATTGTTTAAAGATCTTTGCTGGTACTTGTGACCCCCACCGCGCTACTAAATAACTCGTAGATGTCGGTTGCCGGTGACCCCCATGGTGACCAATGTGTTAAACATAACGAGGGTGACTAAGATTAATTCTACTACAACTTTAACTTTGAAATGTTTTCAAAACTTACCAACGTTTCCTGGAGCATCATCAGTGTTCGAAAACAAAAATCCGAAGGACCCTAGACGGTAGTTAACTGTGACCACAATGATATCTCCTAGAGCAGAAACCAAGTGGCCTTTGTAGAGGTCCATTCGAATTGATCCAAGGAAAAAACCGCCGCCATACATCCAGTATAAAACAGCTTTTGGATTACTTGTGTTTGTTTCAAATGGTGTCCAAATATTAAGGTACAAACAATCTTCACTTTTACCAGGTTTATCATCATACCAAGGATATGGAGCCTGGTTATACTGAATGCAAGCTGGAGACTCTTCTGTTGCTTTAATTGTATTCTCCCATGCTTCAAGTTTTCTGGGCTTTTTGAACCGAAATTCACCAGTTGGAGGCTTCGCATATGGAACACCTAGGTACTGATTTACTAATGTACCGTTAACATCAACAGTGGTCCCAGTAAGTTTTCCTAGTTTAGTTTCCACTACGGGCGTTTTTCCTGATTTGTCGGCTATTGCGAAACATTGAAAATATTGCAAAAGGCCACATAATATGCCAAGTCCTTGAAATAGTTTTTTAAACATTTTCTGAAAAAAAAAAGTTCTACGTTATTTCACATATTAAACTTAGTTTTTTATTTAGCAATAATAACGAAAAAGCTGGAAATACAGGCAGAGGTCCAAATGTCAAATGTATGGGTTAACATCAAAATTTAAATCTCATCGTTATTATTATCGTTATTTAAATCTCATCTCAATTAAGTTTCGCTTAGCAGAAAACCTGCAAAAGTGTTTTCCATAAACTTAGTTAGCAACCTCAAGCATCTTTGTCGTCACACGCGTGCTTAATATTGAGCATGATGAGAGAAGTAAGCATCGAGTTCATCAATTACTCGACATGCATGTGAATTGAGACCTTTTTATATAACTTTTTATGTATAATAAAGTTGTGTCTACCGTGCTTTGAAGGTATTATAAGGGTATGTGGTTTATCTTTGAAAGTTTGAATCACCATAATCAATAGGCGCCTTATCACAATAATCACCTTAATCAAAGTTACATTGTGCAGTCTAATTATAGGTAGCCCATAATTAAATCTTTTTATATTTTTAGTACATTTTATAATCCACTTATTTTTCTTCAAGAATACTTAAAATTACTCCAAAATATAATAAATATGGACAAAGAACATGTTAGAACAGAGATATAATGCTTCTTCAGACAAAGGCTTTTCGGTAATAAGATGTATAATTTCAGATTTGTTCATAGGCAGCCAGACATTACTGCGTCATAAAAGCTGGTTGAAGGAGTTGGCCTAAATGTTATAACTTTTCGACTTCACGCTAAATTGATATAAGAACTGACTAAGCACAGCGAAACAAACATGAACTGATATTCGGTCGACATTTTCACCGAGTCAGCTGCACATGTACTCATGCGTAACTTTACCTTCCCTGATTCTCTACGGCTTAAATCTTGTTGCACAGGTGTTATCAGGCTTAATGATTTTCAAGCCTTAAGATACAAAGCCTTGTGACCAAAAAGTTCTCGATCGAAAGAAGCCTTATTGTACAGAGTTTCACTTCTTAATAAGCTTAACTTGTTCCATATTTAAACTGTCAGGGGACTTATCATCTCGTTTATGAAAGTAGCTACTCAGTCGGAAAAAGTTTTCACAAACATATTATTTAAATTTTATCTTAACAATGCACATCTTACGTTTACAAATCAATCTGCGCTGCTTGTGAGATTTCAAGGTAATATAAATTATTCTCAAACCAAGTGAAAGATTTTTTCAAAGGTATGCAGGTTCAGCAAAGGTGGACAACAAAAAGTGTACTATTTTGTCAGTTATAGGAAGCAGAGTACGAAAATGGCAAAGGTACTGCGTCAGTGTGTTTAATTTAAACGAGACATGATGTTCAGTTTTTCAAAGAAAAGATTTTCACGTCGTTAAGAGGTACAGTGGAAAGAAACAAACAGCAGTCCTTACTTTCTGCTGGAGAGTCTTCCATCAATACCTATTAGCCGCGTGAGTGTAGCTGGTATAATGAGTGTAGCTGGTGAATGTAGCTGGTATAATGAGTGTAGCTGGTGAGTGTAGCTGGTAGTGTAGCTAGGAATTTTGGTTTTTAACGTTTACTGTGAGCTCGTAGTCATTGTGTCAAAAAGGAAATCAATCTTCGATTTTTTTTATGATTTAATTATTTTCTATATTCTTGAATGATTCTTTTTGGAACTATTTAAGAGTTACCTTATGGAAGTTGTATCAAAACTTCTGTTATTTTCTGCTATAAAAAGTAGGATACTATAAAATCGTACCGAAAATCTGAAATCATACATAAAAGTATCAATACATCAAATAGAAACAAATACTACTTAATTTTTTATAATTTCTTCCGTTTCTAGAAGACAACACTAATATGAAACAGTTAACCCATAACTAGATTTTTTTCTTCGAATAATGTACAAGCTTTCAAAACGAAATGAGTAAAATATTAAAGTATTATGTGAATAATTTATGATAGAAATTATGCACAGCCAGAAAAATTAAACTGCAGTAAGTTGTACCTCTACTCCATTCTTCCTGAACGGAAATGGCTAAATGGATAAGCCTGCTAGACTTTTTTAATCTGACATGAACTCAAATCCCGGCAAACAGACTGGCTTCTTAGAGTATTCGTGTTTTCCTCAGCAATTATGAACCTGTTTCTAGTAAAAAGGTCCTCCCTGAAGGTGTAACCTTCTTAGGTAGATAGCCTTTATGTACTTTGTTTTAATTAATTGATCTTAATTTTGAATAAGAAGGCATGAAGCAACGAAGTATGAAACGTCATGTAAGAAGCTCAAAAACTTAACCACGTTATAACAGACAATCGATCCACTTATTGTTAGCTAGATATAGTAACCTTACATTACGATGGCATGGGTGAAAAGAATACTGTAATTTGTTAGAAGCTTTACACAAATTACTTCTAACTTACTGTTATCATTCTCAAAATTAAAAGAAGGTATGAAATATTATTGATTGTAATGGAAACAGTTTATGCTCTAGGTTTATTCGAATGGTTTTTATAGTATTATAGTAGGTGTCGAAGAATTTTCTGTAGAAAGGCAGATTCGTCTAGCTGATACTTCAAGGGAAAAAAATATTACTTTCATTATCAGATCTTTCAGAATGTAGTAAAATTTTACTAAATATTAGAAAAATATTTCTTGCGTTAATTAATTCAGTAATCAAAGAACAAAGTAAACAACATATTAAAATTTTTTCGGATATTATTCTTTTTAAAATTAAGAAAACTGTTATAAGAGATAAGAATAACGCAGTTAATTTTACGATAGCCAATAAGCAACGTTGGTGCTGGTTTTCTATATAACGCTGTTTGACGGGTATTGTTGTACAGCGGTAAACATCCTTTTTGTTTGCCAATTAGAAAAACTTTCATTTTCTGGTCTCAAAAATGAAATATTATGTAAAATAATCTCGAAAACTTGAAATTCAGTTTAAAGAATTTAGTATTAGTCTAATGCAAAGGGGTAGTGTTTTAAGACTGATCGCTCTTCATTAATTTCCTTTTATTTGTATCTTTTAAGTTATTGTTCCAAATTTAAAGCATTTCTTATTCATTAGTCACATTTCAAACGCCAAAATCCTATTATTGCCACAGCCGGCTCTATGGTTGCTGATTACCCAGACAAGTTAATTTTTTAATAATTTAATAATTGACAACTTTTCCTCTAATTGTAATCAATATTATTCCTTAAACAAATGCTTCCCTAATAACGTCCTTCTAAACAGCAGCACATTACTGAGTGTCTTGACTTCTATGTACTGCAGAAAATACTATTTCAGCAGTCATTTGTATGTCCATTATTCGTATAAACAAGTGAATATTTAGAATGAAAATTCTCATAACTGACTGTTTAACTAGCTCATATCAGAGCTTAACTTAATTCATTGCACAGAATGTATTTTTAGTCTGTTAAGTATCTGTGTGTGTTGTTGTCTTGTGACTTATCTCACTTGTCTGATAGTAGCATCAGAACAAGCCCACGAAATTTATCATGGCAAGGAGGCAAGATTACGCCTGTCATTGGCAAGAGCGTAGGACACATACAGGTGACAGTACGTCTTTGCTCAGACCGCCCACAATTTTGAAAGAGAGCACCTCGGAGGGAGCGGATGGTTCCCTGGGTTTCCGACTCCTCTACCTCTACTACCAACCTCTTGAGAAGACTTCGACTCGCCGCATATTTAGAATGTCCCCATTCCGCGCAGACACTACACATTTATAAACATACATGTCTTCTCCGGGATTCAAACTCGGGCTGTTCGTTATCCTTTTCTAAGTATAATTATAGAAATATTTACGAGAAAAGAATCTAAAACTTCAGAAATTAGTTTGTTACTGCATTAATTTTATGTTAAAATCTTTTAATAAAATGGGAATATTTTTCCTAAATTGTCTTTACTTAGAATACCTATAATATATTGATCTACTTTAAATATTATTTTAAGATATGTTTCTGAAGGTGAGATGGAGTTTCTACGAACAAACCTTATAGTTCTATGGATTCCAGGAGTTGACAAAGTTTGAAGACCACTGTTGTAAAATAAAACCAGTTTGTTCTTTTAGTAAATACCTTTAGTATTTCGCACCAATATATTGATTTAACTACTAACTGGGCTGTAAGAAAATTTACGCAACGCAAATTCCTTTATTTATTCATAGTTAACTTGAACATTTATACATAGATTTTTTTTGCTCATTTATTTTATCAGTGTTTAAATATCCGCCGTTTCTGTATGTTGAACACTTATACACAACAATTCATGATTGAGAGAACTTTAGCTAATTTTTTGCTTATTATTGTCAAACAGAGTAGAAGTGTTATCAATATAACTGAGCCATACTAGGAAGTTTTAATATTTAAATAATTTAGATTCATAGAAATGCATTCAAATCCAGGCAAAAATAGATCTGAGAAGTTTTTCCATGGCTAATCCTTCAGTCTGAAAGTAATAACTGCTTTGGTAAATTAAATGCGTTTGTATGAGGTAACGCACAGTAAGTGAAGTTAACTCATCAATTTCGAAACGTGAGAAATAAAATTCCCGAAATTTAGTTCTAGCCATTTAAACGCACCTTTCACTACAAGACCGATGAATATTGATTTTAAATGAAATGAAACAATAGTGAAAGTTTAAGGAAGAATTTTTTTTTATTTGCCAACAACCTCTAGTAAATTTTTTGCTGTATAAGTATTGTTCATTAGTAAATAAAAAAGAGGTTAAATATTTAGCTAACGGGTATAAGGCAGAGATTAAATTCGAAACAATCGGGCAGAAATGGGTAGAAACAAATGAAATTTTCGCTTTTTTAGGCTTAGTCTGCTTCGTGTTCGTTCAGTAAATCTTGCCGCAGTTTTATTACGACTGTATGCTTGTACTTTTATGATTATAATTTCAGCTTTTTTTGACTCCAGGTGTTTTTGCATATTCCTACGTCATAGGTCGCCTTTTTCCCGCTTTCTTCGTCATGCACACTTCCACTTGTTTTCTTCTTCTATTCTTTCATCTTATA